GCAGCTGGGGTCCGGTTGCTGCCTGCTGGCTCCCGTGGGGGCACACAGGGACTCATGAGGAGCAGTGAGGGGGGCATCCTCCTGCTCATGGCCCCAGGTCAGCCTTGGGTAGGGCACGGTCATCCTGACAGCCCCCAGCCCAGTGCCAGGGGAGGAGTCCAGGAAGGAGAAGCCCATCCTGGAAATGCAAACCCAATGCTGGGTGTGGCCTCCTCCCGAAAGCTCCGCCCCCACCATGCTGGGCATGGCCTCCTCCCCAAAACTCTGCTCCCCACCAGACTGGGCGTGGCCTCCTCCCAAAGCTCCACCCCTACCCCCCCAACTCCCTAGTCAGGGTGGGGGCCTGGAGGGAGACAGAGGCCAGGAGGTAGCCAGGGGAGCTAGGGGTGGGCATAGGGTGGAGCATGGCTTCCTACGGCCCCAATCCCCAGGCCCAAGGAAGGAGGTCTCAAGGGCCCCTCCTGGACCTTCCTGCCCATCCAAGCTGAGGGTCCCGTTTGTTGGCCGAGGGCCTGCACAGCTTCAGGGGTGAGAGGGGCCCCTGGTGGGACCTGGGCAGGTGTTTGTGGGTGGGGCGTCTGAGTGAGGGAGCCCGGGCGGGCCTGGAGGCCCTGGGGCTGTGGAGACGCCAGCATCTCCCCTGATCAACACCAAATGATGCCCCTCCCTGGGCCTCCACCCTCCCTGAGGCTGCCACAGGCACTGCTGGCAAAAGCCTTGGATGCTTGGGCTGGCGGCAGGGAGGGCCAGGTGGCTCCAATGGGGCCTCTGGGGACAGGGTTGCAGGAGTCCAGGATCCTCGTTTTTTAACCCTGAGTCCAGCACCCCTGCAGAGCCCCCCAGGTGCTGGGCACAGCTCTCCCTGGACAAAGCCCACAGCTCCACGGGTGCCAGCTGCAGTTCTAGTAAAGATGTGAACACGGAAACCAAGGGACAGGGTTTGCCCCCCGATGCAGCTGCTCGAGAGGCCCCAGCTCGAGGTGCACTCCTCCATGCCCAGCGCGAGCATCAAACTCAGCCAGCCCCACCTCCTGTGTCCAGGAACCCCAGGCATGGCCTCTTCCCCAGGACCTCAGCTGGGTGCTGTCTCCACCCACAGCCAGTTCCTCTCCATGTGCCCCCAGGGCCCACTGCCTGTGCAGAGTCTGGGCAGCATTACGGGAGGCGTGGCGAGGCACAGGAGGACAGCCTCGGCCACAGAGGACAGGCCAGGCCTCACAGCCAAGAGCCCCAGGGCTGCACTTTTTTTGGCTGGAGGAGCTCCGCACCTGAGCACAGCCTGCTGCAACTCCTCATAGATTTGGAAAATTGATTAGAAGGCAGAGGTGAGTTTAGGAGGGTGGCTGTGCACAAATTTGGTAAGAATCAGCATCTTTCAAATTCAAGCATTTCGGTTAGGAGAGGCGAAGAAAGAAGGCACCATTCTCAGCAGCAACAAAAATTGTAAATTTCTGGAGCAAACAGCGGGCAGATCTACCTGTTATAAGAGGGTCTGAGGCCTGATCAGGACCAGACCAGCAACAAGCCCAGTCTGTCCTGGGCATCACGAGTGCCATCCCTATGCTGGCGGCTGCCACGAGAGGCCAATTATTCAGAGAACCCTGGAACCAGGTACATCGATTGTAAGTTAGCATTGGAAAAATAAGTAAAAACTAAGAAATTCGGGAACAAAGATCACGAGGAACTGTTGCCACCAGGCTTTCACACACACCGGAGGCTACCTGAGTCAGCCCCTGTGCAGCTAGTCTCAGGCGGTCCCAGTAACAAGATGAGCAGGGGGAACACACTGGCATTACAGACATGTTAAGGGTAGTTTTGAATCAGTGAGGGCTGTGGTCAGATCAACAGTGCAAAGCCCCTCCCGGGTCTGTATCCTGCAGACAGTCGGGAGCCCGTCTAATGTTCTGGGGACTCCTGCACATCAGGCTGAGGTCATGGGGTCATACAGTAGCATTTCTCTGCATTTCTGGCTAATGACTGAGCAGAAGGGATGTGCATCGGCTCCAGGGTGAGGTAGTGAAAAACAATGTGTAAGAACTCTTACAGTTCCAGCAGTAGAGATAAACAACTGAGTTTAAAAATGGGCAAAGGGCCGGGCATGGTGGCTTATGCCTGTAATCCCAGCACTTTGGGAGGCCAAGCTGGGTGGCTCATTTGAGGTCAGGAGTTTGAGACCAGCCTGGCCAGCATGGTGAAACCACATCTCTACTAAAAATACAAAAATTAGCTGGGTGTGGTGGTGCCTGTAATCCCAGCTACTCGGAAGCAGAGGCAAAGGGGTAGGAACCTGGGGGGGCAGAGGTTGCAGTGAGCCGAGATCTTGCCACTGCCTTTCCCCAGCCTGGGCTACAGCGAGACTCTAACTCAAAAAAAAAAAAAAAAAAAAAAAAGGGTCAAAAGAATTTGAATGGATGTTTTTTCTAAATAATGTATGCCTGGCCATGAGCTCATGACAGAAGCTCTTAACACCATTAGCCTGGAAAATGCAAATAAAAGCCATGAGACCGCACCTCCACCCCACTGGGATGGCTGGAACCCGAAAGCATCACAGGTATCACGGCAGAGACGGGAACCTCACATGTGGCTGTTCTGTTCTTCAAAGTGTGGAGCCGAATTCCATGTGACGCAGCAGTCCCACTCCTGGGAACACGTCCCGAGAATCAAACGTGTCCACACAAAAACATCACAAATGTTCCTAGTAGCATTATTCACAATAGCCCCAAGGTGTTTAGCCTACATGTCCATTGGCTGAGGGACAGATGGGCACATTGTGGCCTGGCCCCACACTGTTCTTCACCCGTAAAAAGGAACGAAGCTCTGGCCCATGCTCCAAAGTGGATGAACCTCGCAAACATTTGCTAAGTGAAGGTCAGGCATTAGACGGCCACATATCACATGAGACCATTTATATCAAATGTCTGGGAATGGGCAGGTCCATGGTGACACAAGTGAACTCCCGGCTGCCCAGGGCTGGGGCGAGAGGCATAGCTGGGGAAAAACAGGAAGGGTCTTAGTCCATCCCTGCTGTAACAAAACACCTCAGACTGGGTAATTTATAAACAACAGAAATTTATTTCCTGTAGTTCTCAAACTGCGAGTCCAGAATCCAGGCACTGGCAGGCTGGGGTCTGCAAGGGGGCAGCTCCGATGGCATATCAACCTCACATGGCAGAACTTCGGAGGAAAAACAGCCAAGCTAGTTCCTTCCAGCCCTTTTATAAGGGCCCTGAGGTAGAATCATGGCAGGGATGGGCCTCTGGGGCACCTTTGGGACCACAGAGCTCACTGCCTGCCTAGGTCTCCCAGATCCTGGCCAGCCCTCCTTGGCTGCCCCCACCATGGCTCCAGGCAGGCGCAGGCTGGCACTCACCTGTTGCTCCTGAAGGCGTATGCGGTGGGCTTGGTGGCATGCACACGGTACTGACCCTGCAGGCGATGGTGGCCTCACCCAGATTTCAAAGGATGTTGCTGACAGTCTTGAGGCCCAGGCAGAGGCTCATCATTGGGGTGGAGCTACCTCGGAATCCCCAGCGGGGCAATGCCCAGTGGAGCCCGAGGAGCAGGGGCGGGGACTGCCTCCAAGACCCCAGGACCGCAGGGCCACCAATGACCAAGCGCAGCCTGGGAGAGCGGCAGGCAGGAGACTCCAACCCCGCACCCTAGGTGGGCTGAGCCCAGCAAGGCCGTGAGGCCCAGCCCTGTCCCCGTGTGTCTGGAGGTGGGCAGGGGTCAAGATCATCCCTGTTCATGTCTCCTATGAGTCCTGTCCCTCTGAGAACCTTTGACTCATACGATTTTGTATGTGACGGGGGAGTACTGGGCCCCACTGTAAAGTGCTGTGGTTGGAATACTTGCATCCTCTAAAGCTCGAAGGCGGAAACTTAGACCCCAGGCAGTGCCAGGAGGTGGCGCCTGATGGGAGGTGTCTGATCCACTCACGAGGCAGAGCCCTTGTGACTAAAGCCACTATAGAAGGGCTTGTGGGGCAGGCCACCCTCCAGCCAGTGAGGATGCCGTGTGCGAGGGACAGTCGTGAAGAGGAGAACCCGACATGGCTGCTGGGACCTTGGCCTCCAGACTGGGAGGCAGGAAGTCTCTGTTGATAAACTGCTGTCTGGCGTTCTGTTGTGGCCGCACTCAAACTAGGCGTGGGGAGTGGCTGCTAACAGGCACAGGACGTCTTCTGCAGATGATAAACGTGTTCCGGTATGAGATGAGTGGGAATGGTTGCTGACCGTGAATATACTAAAAACCACTGGTGTACACTGTAAGGGTGGCTTGTGTGCATGTGAATTTCATCTCAACGAAGCTGTTTTGCGGGGCAGGTGAAACATTGTGGAGCCATGTCCCAAGAAGGCAGCACGACTGGTAGCGATTGGCTCACCTATAATCTCAGCACTTTGGCAGGCTGAGGCTGGTGGATCACAAGGTCAGGAGATCGAGACCATCCTGACTAACACAGTGAAACCCCATCTCTACTAAAAATACAAAAAATTAGCCAGCCGTGGTGGCGGGCGCCTGTAGTCCCAGCTACTCGGGAGGCTGAGGCAGGAGAATGGCCTGAACCCAGGAGGTGGAGCTTGCAGTGAGCCGAGATCATGCCACTGCACTCCAGCCTGGGCAACACAGCAAGACTCCGTCTCAAAAAAAAAAAAAAAAAAAAGAAGGCAGCACCAGAAAACCAGAAACTGCGCTGGGTCCTCAGTGCGGCAGGTGCTCCCAGGGTGCAGACTGGGTGAAGGCAGCCTTCTCTGGGGTCACATGTGTGTAACAGCACCTTCTCTCTCAGGGCCTCCTCCCTCCTGAGTGGTTTGAGAATATTCCTGTGTCTGATAGCACAGATGCCCTGGTCACAAACAGCTGCCTGCATTGCTGACCACAGGCCTGGCCTCAGAGAAACCCACACCCTCTTCAGGGGGAGAGAGCAAGGGGCTTGGCGGTGCCTGAAGCCAGTGGGCTGGGGACTCACAACCGGGACACTCAGGGCAGTCAGGGCAGGCATGTGGCCCCAGCGTGGCACAGGGCCAAATTCATGCCAGCTGTCACTGGCCCTACTGTGGGGAAGGGCTGGAGGAGTTGGGGCACCTGCATTTGGCCTGCAAGGAATCTGGGTCCTGCTGGCTGTGGGTGACCACAGAGGGCCACGTGGGCAGGGCACATTCATGGGCCCCCAGGTAAGCTCGTCAGGGTAGGGGGAAGGGCCAGGAAGCCTCAGCCCAGACCAGGTATGGTGGGAATAGTCCACACAGGAGGGGCAGAAACCGTCTAGAAGACCCTGGCACACAGGTCTGCTGCAGCAGAGCCAGGAGGCACGCGGGGGTGCGCATGTCCAGGGCAGAGGAACCACGTGGGGCTCAGTCAGCAGTCGGGGTCAGGCCTGGTTAATTGGCACTGAGGACCCTGAAGGCTTGGCCCCACCTCTGGGAATAGGCTTCCTCCACAGTCACAACAAAGGTAGGGACCAGAGGGGGCCAGGACACGGGGGACTGCACCCACCCTCTCACCGCTGCTCCCCTTCCCTTACCACCCTGTCCAGTGGTGTCGCGCAGATGGGAGGTTGTAGGGCGTCCACACCTGGCCTGCAGCGGCTGCCCGGCTTCCTGCTAGGGAGATGGGGCCAGTGCTGATGGGGAACAGCTGTTGTGGGGGCAGCCAGAGGAAACCGTTCCCAGCGGGGAGTGAGCTCATGGTTTACAGGTCCCTGCCAGATCCACTTAACATCCTGGAGGCAGAAGCGCAGGCTGCAAGCCTGCCCTGCCTCCGCTGAGCCTCCCTGCTCTGACACAAAGGGCCACTCAGCCATCCTCATTCAGCCTGCACCTCCTGTCCTGAAGCTCCCTCCTCCCTCCCGCGTGCTCCCCGTCATTTACGCGCACGGCCCCGACCCACCCTGCTCACTCACCCCCTGAAGCTTCTCTGGGTCCTGGACTCCGTTCTGCAGGCTGGATGCCTTCTCGGCTGTCCACTTGGCACCTGCCTGGTCTCTGGGTGTTCAGTGAGGGGTGACCAGGAAGAACGTGTTGGAGACAGTGGACAGGAAAGTCTCTGTCTCTCACCCATAACTCACAGCAGCCCCACTGGGCGGGCACAGCCATCACTGCAGCCGCGAATGTAAACAGAGGCACACAGGCGATGTGGCTGCCCCTGTCTGGTAACTGGTGGCCGGGATTGGAGCCTGGGTCCAAGCTGCCTGTTTTTTCTTTCCTAGGCCATGCACCTTTCTCCTGGGATAACTGGAGGTGATTTCATGGAACCTGGAGGCTGGGCTTCAGGTTGGCAGGAGAAGGCTCGGCTGGAGCCTTCTCCATTGGCTCTGCTCCCTGCTCTCCTTGCTTGAGCGGTGGGGCCCTGCGTCCTCTCCGCCCCCACCTTTCTTGCAAAATTGTCGGAGGCTTTGTCACCTGGGGCCACTGTTCCTGCCAGCTCCGGCCCCTTCTCCTGCGATGGCGTTGCCTGTCCCTGCGCCTTAAGCCCATCTTCAGCCAGGCCAGGCCCTGCAAGGGCTAACCACGGAGACGCATGTGGCAACATGGGCCATGTCTCACATGTGGTCTTGGAAAGCATAGCCTCTACCACTCCTTTCCCTGCCCAGGCCCCTCCCTGCCAGCTGGGCTGGGCACTTCTGCACCCATTGGAACCTACTTGGCCAGGAAAGATGCCTGAAGGCTAAGAGGAGAGGCATGATTGGGGGACCCCATGTGTGGTGACAGAAACAGCCACCCAGCCGTTCTCAGCCACCATGTGAGAGAGAAATGATGCCTCCCACTTGAGTTCCCCATGCCCGGGCTGCTCCTTACAGCATCCTAGCACTTCACCCCAACTACTCAGTTGCCATGGCAAATGGAATATTTTAGCTCTTTTTTCTTTAATTCCCAAGTGATTATTTGCTAGAGGAGTGAGAAGTTACTAATTTTTGTATGGCTATCTTATTAAATGTTTTACTGATTTTAATTTTAATTTTTTGAGATGGAGCTTCACTCTTCTGGCCTGAGCTGCAGTGCAGTGGTGCGATTTTGGCTCAGTGCAACCTCCGCCCATGGGTTCAAGCGATTCTCGTGCCTCAGCCCCCCAAGTAGCTGGGATTACAGGCATGCATCACCATGCCCAGCTAATTTTGTGTTTTTAGTAGAGACAGGGTTTCACTATGTTGGTCAGGCTGGTCTCGAACTCCTGACCTCAGGTGATCTGCCCACCTTGGCCTCCCAAAGTGTTGGGATTACAGGCGTGAGTCACCGCACCTGGCCTGATTTTTAATTTTTAAATGAGGGGGCAGAGGCACAACTAGGTTTACAATCATGTCATCAACAAAATAAATTGTCTTATTTTTCTGATGTTTGGCTGCCATTATTTGGTTTTCTTATTAAGTTTGCGGGCCTCCTAGAAAATGCTGGACAATTGTTACAGCAGGCCACGAGTTGACCCTGGATTTGTGACATTTGTGTTTCCACCTAGCGATCTTGGCCATTGTGGACACAGACTTTGCACTTTTTCTATTTTACTAGAAATAGACTTTTATTCATAATGATTGCTGAATTTGGTCAATTTTCTTTTCAGTACCTGTCGATGGGGTTCTCTGAATTTTCTGTGCTAATTGGCTAATGAAATGATGTCTCTGATTGCTGGGCTGCCCTCGTAAGCCTGGCCTTCATCTGCTTGGCCATACATGATGCCATGGAAGCTGCGTTGGGTCCTATTTGCTGTTCTCCTGTGTAGAATCCGCTGATGCGGCGTTGAGTCCTATTTGCTATTCTGTTAGATCTTTTTGCATCTTCCTAAGAAGTGATATTTGTCTATGGTTTTCTCTTTTGTTCCACATCAGGTTTTGAATTAAATTATCCTGGTTTCATGAGATGAATTACAGAGTTTTCCATCCTTTCATGTCTTGGGAAGGTTAAAGTAACCCTGGGATGACTTTCTTTCCATGGAAGGTGAGGTCATCGTCAGCTAGGGACATCTGCTCTGGAGCCTCCCTTTCCTGGCTCAGCTGTCACCTCTCAGCTCCTTGTGCTCATCTCGCGTGGTACCGCTTGTCCAGAGTCATTCTGGACTTCACACCAGGACAACATGGTCTGCTGCTGCAGGTTTCCAAGCAGCTGCCCGGCCCCGAGTGGGCTGTCTCATCATTCTCAGCCTCTTCCCATGCTGAGGTCTCCTTCTTCCTAATCGTGTGTGGGTTTTCTATTTCAATGCATAAATTCTAAATATAGTCACTTATTTATTTAGTTTTCGTTTTTGTGGTTTTTTTCCTTTTTGGAAACAGAGTCTCACTTATCACCCAGGCTGGAGTGCAGGGTCACGATGTCAGTTCACTGCAGCCTCTGCCTCCCAGATTCAAGCAATTGTTCTGCCTTAGCCTCCCGAGTAGCTGGGACTATAGGCGCACACCACCACGCCCGGCTAGTTTGTGTATTTTTGCAAATACAGGGTTTCACCGTATTGGCCAGGATGGTCTCAAACTCCAGGCCTCAAGCGATCCACCCACCTCTGCTTCCCAAAGTGTGGGCATTATAGACGTGAGCCACTGTGCCCAGCCTAGGCAGTCATTTCTTGATGCAGCTTTTGGGCTGGGCAAAGGGGATTTATTTTATTTCAGAAAAACAATCATTTCTCCTCTTTACTTATTTGTTTTCTACTTCATTAATTTCTGGCTTTATCTTCATAATTCTCCCTACTTTTTAAAATGCACTTTCTTGTTCTCATTTTAGTTTCTTAGGATTAGCACAAAGCCCCTCCCGTTTATTATTTCCTCTAAAAACAAGAGCTGTGCTGGGAGCTCTGGGCCTTCCACATTAAGCTGAGTCCTCAGCGCTGGATCAATATTTACTGGTTTCTTGGCTTTTCAGAGCACACATTCAGATTTAATATCCTGTTTTACCCAAAGCGCTACCTGGGAGTGTGTTGGTTTCTAAGTTTTAGGCGAAGAGGTGGCACTTCCTATTATTTATTTTACAATATTTGGATAATACGATCATTTTAAATTATTCTACTTTTTAGTTCCTTGAGAGTTTCTTTGCAGCAATACACAACAGACATGGACTTATTGGAAGATGGAATGTTTAGAAGCTCTGTTTCCTGTGAGAGCGTTCAAGCACGTTCCTGTGAGGAACGTGAGCATGACCATCCCATGTCCCGATCTGTCTGCATTTTTCTGTCGCCACTAGACTGATGTGGAGAGAGAGACATGGAGGAGCTCCTGTGACCCTCAAGTCCCTTCCTTAGCGTCCCCTTCCAGTTGGCTTTCGAGTTTAGCTCCCATGTTGTTTGGCTCATGGAGGTTTATGTCCTCTATCTCGGTCATCGTCCCCCTCGGTGTGCCCACCCACGTCCCACAGAGCCCCACTCAGCCCGCTTCTTGGCCTCACCTTGATGTCAGGGGGTGTCCTCTCTGCTCCGACTCATGGGCAGTGGCTGGCTTCCCTTCCCAGTACTTTCTCTGGATAATGCATGGGGATGACATATCTTCTAGTGTCTGCTGTTGCGCTCCGGTGACATTTCTGGGCTAGTGTGGGATGCCTGGGATGCAGCCGTCTCCCTGGTGATTGTGGATGGCGTTTCTGTCCCTGCTTCTGGTGGCACAGATGAGAACTCAGGCCTCGTGCTCTCTCTGCTGGCACACACGTCTTCCCTCCGTGCTGGCTGCACACCCGCCCATGGGGTTTCTGCAGGGGGAAGGAGACAGCCAGAGGCCCAAGTGGGGTGTGGCAGGCAGGCAGCAGCCTGGTCACCGTGGTGGCCTCTGCCCTGCATCTCGAGCAACAACCCTGAGTCACCGTGGCGGCCTCTGCCTTGTGTCTCAGCAACAGCCTAGTCACTGCAGCCTCTGCCCTGCGTCTCGCCAGCAACCGTGGTCACCATGGCAGCCTCTGCCCTGCGTCTCAGCAGCAACCCTGGTCACCGTGAGCGGCCTGCTCTGCTTCTCAGTGCTGCCTGGTGCCCGACCCCCAGGGTCTTGAGGTCGGTATGAGGCCACACGCTCACGTGCACTTCTCCCTAGCTGCTTTCCTTGAGATGAGAGGTCCCCATGGAGCTCACACTTGGCCCCTAGAGACTTACAGACCCTTGTGCTGTCAGATGGGAGGCTGAGGTTCAGAGAGGCACAGTCACCTTCTTGAAGATGCACAGCCATGAGTGAAGAAGCTGGGATTTCTCCTGGTCTCTCTGACCCTGGAACATGTGGCCTCTGGGTGTGCCCAGTAAGAGACATTAAGAGGGCCTCCCCATGAGCCCTGACTGGGGGCACAGGCACCGTCAATGTGCTTGTGATTCCTACAGGAAGGCAAAGGGCATGTCGGGGGGTGGGGATGGGGCAGCCAGAGGGCGGTCCTGGCCTATGTGAGCCTCCTTTGGGGGAGGTGCCAGAACTTCACCCCATGATCCTCTATTCTCATGAGCCACAGGACTAGCCAGATCCCCATAGCAAAGGCAAAGTCAGCAACTCAACAAAGCACATGGCCAGGCGTGGGGCTCACTCCCTGCCAATCCAGCACCATGGGAGGTCGAGCAGAAGGATGGCTTGAGGCCAGGAGTTCGAAACTGGCCTGGGCAACATTGAGACCACTCTATAAAAATAAAAAATAAAAAAATTGGCTGGGTGTGGTAGTGCATTC